CATATGTTTGTACCTTTTTTGTCCCAGCAAAAAAACACTAGGCACAAAATAATGAGTAAATAATAAGAAAGTTTAATAAAGGGAATATGTACAAAGGGATGAGCAGGACTAAGGGAAATTGATAAAGATGGAGAGGACTCTAAAGATAAGTCATAACAGGGAGCTACTGCTAAAGAATAAAGGGAAAGGTAAGTTACCAGAACACAGGGAGGCTATGGCTGTAGTGGTGGTTGTCACTTTGACCATAAGAGAAGTAACCAGACAGGGGCTATGTCTTTAGGTAGAATAACACCACCATGGCCAAACCACATCGGAGAACTAGGGAGTGGAAACCTGCCCTCTTCCTGCCCTCCAACCACCTGTCAGTGTCTATCCTTCCTGAGATCACCCAGGAGCCAGAGGTGAGCCCAGTGGTGTGGGGAATAGACATGTACTCTCAGTACACAGAGGAGGGTAGAGAAGCAGGAAGTGAAATTTGATGTCAAATGAAGGGAATTCAGATTATTCTCCTCCTGCCTTCAGCAGACATGACATGTTCTCTGATTATGGGTGGAGGTATTTGTTCTAGAGAATATTCCCATGTCAGCAGAGGTTCCGTGTTGCATAGAGAGAGCCCTTACTCTAGTGTCAAAGAGAACTGGGTTTGAATCCAGGTTCCAGGACTCCAAGGCAGTGAAGCCTTTGGTTTCATATTCTCTGCAAGCCTCCATTTCCCACCTCTGTAACACAGGTAGCAGAGTAGCCATGAGACTCACTGATCAGGCACCTGGTGCCCAAGTCTTGTTTCGGTTCCAGTGGCACCAGTGGAGGGTTCCCGAGCATGAATCCATCTGTCACAGCCGGGAGCAGCCAACTCACATCTATAAATGGGGGAGAATAAACTTTCAAAACAGAGTTCACAATCCTGCAATTCCTGACAGTCATCCTGGCCCTGGTGGGGCTGGCAGGGAACGCGGTGTGCTCTGGCTCCTGGGCTTCCGCATGCGCAGGAATACCTTCTCTGTCTACATCCTCAACCTGGCTGGAGCTGACTTCCTCTTACTCTGCTGTTATATTGTGGATGCCCTAGAGAGAATCATCTGGGACTTCTCTCTCATCAAGATATTCATCCGCAAATTTCTCATCATTGTGTCCGTCTTTGCCTACATCTGAGGTCTGAGCTTTCTCAGCGCCATCAGCACGGAGCGCTGCATGTCCCTCCTATGGCCCATCTGATACAGCTGCTGCCGTCCCACTCATATGTCCACTATCATGTGGCCCTGCTCTGGGCCCTGCCCCTGATACTGAGCATCCTGGAAGGGAACTTCTGTGGGTTCCTGGTGGAGACTATGCATTATTTTTGGTGCACCGTGTTGGATTTCATCACTGTGGCGTGAATGATTTTGTTGTTTGTGCTGCTCTCTGGGTCCAACCTGGCCCTGATGATCAGACTGCTGTGTGGCTCCCACTGGGTGCTGCCCACCAGGCTCTAGGTGACCATCTTGCTCACAGTGCTGGTCTTCCTCCTCTGTGGCCTGCCCCTTAGCATTCACTGGTCCCTGTTAATCTGGTTTCAAGATTTTGATTCCTTCATTCCTCATTTCTTGGTGACAGTTCTCCTGTCCTGTTTCAACAGCTGTGCCAACCCCATCATTTACTTCTTTGTGGGCTCCTTCAGGCAGTGATGGTGGAAGCAGAGACACACCCTGAGGGTGGTTCTCCAGAGGGCTCTGCAAGACACTCCTGAGGTGGATGAACCTGGAGGAAGCCTTCCTGGGGAAACCATGGCCATGTCAGAAAGTCTGGTGTCCTGATTCAGAGTCTTGCTTTGTTCAGACATGTGTGACTTTGAAAGCCAGCTTTGTCCCTCTCATTTGATTGGTTTTCCTACTGTGTTTGCCCTCTGGACCCCTGAATTAAAACAATTAACATAATAATCCAGCTCCAGAGGATGAAGTGAAACAGTGCCTGTAAAACAAAAACAGAGTGCAAGGTCCCAGGACTGCCTCACCCAGGGCCTTCACCCCATGCCCATGGGAGTTTTGCCATCTCTGGGGTCCAGGACTGCTCTCACATTTACAGAATCTCACCTACAGAGGAAGATGAAGTGCAGGAAAAGTCTAAATTTCTTTCATTGCTGAACTTGATAGAAACTACATGAACCTTACATTTTTGACAAGTTTTTTGTGGTCATTCTCCTACAATGTCCCTATAAATTAAACAAATTAAAGTTCAGTCGAGCCCCAGGGAGCAGCCTTGATGATTTTGTCAGGCCTTATACTGACTCCTTACCATAATAAATGTTGTTTGAATAAGTGAACTAATGAATGAAAGTATGGTGATTTTCAAGTCAAGTCTCTGCTAAATCCCATTGCCAGATTTGAGTCACCCTCTTTAAGTGCATTATTTTCATCATTTTTCAACCTTTTCAAGCATGAGCATCCTTTCATGAGCTTATAGGTTACTTGTATTTCTTGAAGTGTCTTTTTCAGTTTTGCCAGTTTTTATTAAGGGTTGCCCTTTTGCATTCGTTGTTTGTAGGAGTTTTGATATATGCCAAATGAGGATTTGGTTAATTATGTATATTGTAAGTGTTTATTCAGTTGCTTGTTTGCTTATTTATTTTAATAGTTTTTATACTTTAGAGCATTTTTTAAAGAATGTACAGAAAATTTCTATACCCCCCCCATTCCTAATTCCCCACACAGTTTATCTTATTACTAACATCTGCCATTAGTGTGGCACATTTATTGAAATTGATGCACCCATATGTTCATATTGTTTTTAGTTTTATTGTTGAAAATATAAATATTCCCTTTTTGCCCCATATAACTCCATCATGCCTCCCCTCCTGATCAGACCTTCACCACCCTATTATCTGAATCCATGGATTAGGCAAAAAAGGTCTTTGGCTGATTTCCTCCCACCCACCAACCTCTCCCCTCCCCACACACACACACAGCCTTCCCTCAAAGATTCTGCACTCTGTTCAAGTTTCATTGTCTCTAGGCCCACTCCTACATCAAACAAATAGGGCAATTGAAAAGAGTTAGGTAATAAAAGACTGTAGAAAGGGTGAACAGGATGACACACCTAAAGATTAGTCATAAAAGGGAGCTATTGCCCTTACACATCTTGAACTTTAAAAGGAAAAAAATAAGTAGCCAGAACACAGGGAACACTGGGCTATCGCAGTGAACCTGCAAAGAATTGACTGATTGCGTTTGTCCAGAGGCAAAAAGCAGCTCCTGGCATCTCTGGTCTGTTCTCAGCTGGATTCCACCCATTTCTTTGTTATTTGTGAAATTTGCCTATTCTAGTTTAATAAAACATACAGATTAGTGCCCTTGTTAGAAGTGACCCTGGTAATGGGGCTGCAGGATTGGGGAAGGGTAAACACTCTGACACAAACCTGTGGGTTCAGATCTGGGCTCTTCCACTTGTGCACGTGAGAACTGGAGCATGTCATTCAACATCCTCCTGCTTGTCTTTTCCTATATGCCAGATGGGAGTAAGCATATACTGGCTTCTAGAGCTATTAGGAGGATTAAAAGAGGTAATACCATGTAAGCACTCATCAGCTGCTCCTCTTCACATATGTGTGAGTTGGTTTGTGTTTCTCACCTAAATTATGCAGGAGTTTCTCTCTTTTAATCCATCGCACTTTGTAAAATAGAATTAAGCATTTTTAAAATATATTTCATTGATTTTCTTAGAGAGAGGAACGGAGAGAGATAGAGAGCTAGAAACATCGATGAGAAAGAAACATTGACCAGCTACCTCTTGCACACTCCCTACCTGGGATGTGCCCGCAACCAATGTACATTCCCTTGGCTGGGATCAAACCTGGGACCTTTCAGTCCGCAGAACTACGCTCTACCGCTGAACCAAACCGGTTTTGGCAGAAATAAGCATTTCTTAATTCCACCACCACCATGAGAATTCTCTTACACAAATGCTTTGATATATAAAAATTCTCTACTCCAAATTATATGTAGGGACAATGAGTGGCTTTCCTATTATACGCATCATAGGAAAGCCAGTTAATAATGCCCCTTCTGTATTTCTGTCCCAACTACCTCTCTTCATACCCTTGGCCACCTCTGTCTCTCTCCTTCCCAAAATGGCTTCTTTCTCCTCTAAAATGCAGAGAAGTTTAATTCAGTCCTGAATCCTCTCCACCTGGATAGGAGATGTCTGCAGGCATAAAAAAAAATTATTTCAAGCACACAAGAGCTTTTCACAGAATAAATAATTGGAACATGAATTTTCTTTTGTTACTTGTGTGTTTTTGGTGGTGAAAAGTGCTGACTTCTGTTTTACATTTAATATTCTTCATTTTTAAAATTATCATACTATATTAAATCCAAATTTTCTTACTGCTCCTCATTCATCCACTCATTCACTTATTCATTTGTGGGTTTAAATTTTATTGACAGCCCCATTTTGTTCCCACACATACTTGGGACACAACATTGTGTCTATCCTCATAAAGATGACACACTGGGACATTTCTAATGCCAGAGATTTGGGTGTCCTCACTCTATACTAACAAGGGGTCTCATTGCCTTCATGAGCCTAAGTCATAACCTCCTTTCTCCTGAGTTCACTCTCAGTTGCTGAGATTGCCCTGGAGCTTCAACAGCCTACAGTCAAACAAAGCCACTCTCCCAGAGGGCAAATACTGAGGAACTCAGAACCTTATTGTCCTCCACAGGACCTGAGCAGACTCTTCTCCTCCTGCCTCCTGGGCACATGTCATGGGCTGGATAGTGAGTGGAGAGGTTGGACATGGAGGGTATGTGTTGCAGTAGAAGGAGCACAGGCTCTAAGATTCAGAAAAAACTGGGTTTAAATTCAGGCACCAGGACTCCAAGACTGTGTGTTTCAGGAAGAATCTTAAGCTCTGGAAGCCTCCATGTGCCACAGAACAGACAGGGTGGCCATGAGCATCAGTGGTCATAGAGCAGGTGCTCAAGTCTTGTTTTGTTTCCAGGCCCACAACTTCAGCATTTCTGAGCATGGATATGACTGTCATAGCCTGGGAGACCAATCTCACACCAACCAATGGAAGTGATCATCAGGTTTCAGAGAACATAATCCTGGATGTACTGACAGTCATCGTGGCCCTGGTGGGATTGGCAGGGAACGCGGTGGTGATCTGGCTCCTGGGCTTCCGCATGCGCAGGAATGCCATCTCAGTCTACATCCTCAACCTGGCAGGGGCCGACTTCCTCTTCCTCTGCTGTGAATTTGGAACTACCCTAGTTTTACTTTTCGACGTCGATTTTTTTCATAGAGTAATGGAAAAGTTTCTCTTGCCTGTGGCACTCTTTGCCTACATCTCTGGCCTGAGCTTTCTCAGCGCCATCAGCATGGAGCGCTGCATGTCTGTCCTGTGGCCCATCTGGTACCGCTGCCACCGCCCCAGAAAACTATCTACCATCATGTGTGCTCTGTTCTGGGCTCTGTCCCTGCTGCTGAGCATGCTGGAAGGGTACTACTGTGGCTTCCTGGTTGAGAATGAGCATGCAGTTTTGTGTCCAGTGTTAGATTTTATCACTATGGCGTGGCTGATTTTGTTGTTTGTGCTGCTCTGTGGGTCCAGCCTTGCCCTGATGACCAGATTGCTGTGCTCCCACCGAGTGCTGCCCACCAGGCTCTATGTGACCATCTTGCTCACAGTGCTGATCTTCCTCCTCTGTGGCCTGCCCTTTGGCATCGATTGGTTCCTCTTTTACTGGCTTAAAAAATATTTTCCTGCCTTCGCTTATCCTGAGGAGTTTGTATTACCCCTGTCCTGTATCAACAGCTGTGCTAACCCCATCATTTACTTCTTCGTTGGCTCCTTCAGGCAGCAATGGTGGAAGCAGAGACACACCCTGAGGCTGGTTCTCCAGAGGGCTTTGCAGGACACTCCTGAGGTGGATGAACAAGTAGAAAGCCTTCCTGAGGAAACCCTATAAATGATGGGAAGCAGGCTGAGCCATGGATGAGAGCCTCTGTCCTGATCTGTCTGAAGTAACTTTGAGACTCACTGCTGCCCTGCCAGGCTTGGAAATTATCTAGTCTTCTCTCAGCCTCAGCATCAGAATGCTTCAGTGATTCCCCAATCTCTTCAAATTGGTTGTTTTTAATCTGGCAGTTCTAGTTTTTCTCAGAGAAAGCATTAGTCCAAACATTATAACTCTCCATCATTATTGACATTACTAATAAATTGCTCATGTGATCTGAATTTCTTTAGAATTTTTTTTTTTTAGAATCATCATTGCAACAGAAAGAATCCCAGTCAGATATCCTGGTCTTGTAGATCTGCAAATTCCTGTCTGCTGTCATGGTTTGGCAGATCTGCTCTCCTCTCCAAGACTCCATTAACTCACTTTACAATGTTGTGAAATCATCTGCTCATAGGATCCTAATGGAGAGTCCTATATAATAAAAAGGTGATATGCAAATTGACCATTACTCCAACACACGTGATGGTCACCCCCATTTGATTAAAGATGACCACCCTATTTTTAAAAAATATATTTTATTGATTTTTTACAGAGAGGAAGGGAGAGAGACAGAGAGCTGGAAACATCGATGAGAGAGAAACATCGACCAGCCACCTCCTGCACACACCCTACCGGGATGTGCCCACAACCAAGGTACATGCCCTTGCCCAGAATCGAATCTGGGACCCTTTAGTCTGCAGAACGATGCTCCACCATTGAGCTAAACCAGCTTCGGCTGACCACCCCATCTTTAATGGCCAACACAAGATGGCCAGCAGGAATGGGCAGTTGTAGGTGATCAGACCAGTAGGGGAGGAAAGTTGAGAGGGTCTAAGCCTGAAAGGGAGGGCAGTTGGGAGATACTTGCCCTGCAGAGGAGGGCAGTTGGAGGCGACCAGGCCACCAGTGGAGGGCAGTTGGAGTAACCAGGCATGAAGGAGAGGGCAGTTAGGAGCAATTGAGCTGGCAGGGGAGCAGTTAGGCATTGATCAGGCTGGCAAGGTAGTGGTTAGGGGATGATTAGGCTGGCAGGCAGAAGTGGTTAAAGCCAATCAGGTAGGCAGGCAGGCAAGAGGTTGGGAGCCAGCAGTCCCGGATTGTGAGAGGGATGTCTGGCTGCCCTTTTAGGCCCAATGCCTCTGGGCAGTTGGACATCTCTCTAGGGGTCCCAGATTGGAGAGGGTGCAGGCTGTACTCAGGGACACACACCCCCCAGTACTCAAATTTCATGTACTAGGCCACTATTAATTATAAAACGCATGAAAAGGACTCAGCCAAGTGCCAAAGATGACTAAATATTTCATGAACATCAGGAGTTAATACATGTGAAGCCTCTAATATATTATTGACTTCTGAGATAATCCTATTTAATAAAGAGAAAATATGATAATTGACCCTCATGCTGTTGCAAAGATGGCAGCACACACAATAAGAAGGGAATTGCCCCAACCCGCGGGACACGACAACGTGGGGAGAAGGAGGACCTGTGGAGGATGAAAAGAAGGGACAGGGGACACGGAGAAATGGAGGCAAGACAAAGTTCTGATCAAGACTCAAACTTTATTTTTGGAACAGCAGTATATATACAGCAGGAACAAAGTGGGGCAGGGTTGCCTAAGCAGCAGGGTCTTTGACAGTGTATAATTGGTTTAGGCACAAGGTGGTAAGGTATCTGGCAACACAGGATTGGCTAACTGCCAGGGCAGTGTAACATTCCAAGGCCGGGGTAGCTATGGGGGAGGATGAGGAAGGGGAGTTGCAGAGATCCTCCGGAGCAAGATGTGCTAAGCGGCAGGTTATCTTTAGCTTCTGGCCAAACACTCAGGGCACCGCATAACTTTTGCTAGAAGGAACTTAATTCTAAGATGGAGTTGTATTTTCTTAAGACGGAGTTGCTTGTCTCAACTCTAATGGCTCCCAACAGGGAATATGCTAATTGGCTGCTGTACCCTCAAAGATGGCAGCACCCACTGCCAATAAGGATGTAATATGCTAATTGACTGTCCTGCTCTCAAATATGGCAGCACCCATAGCCAATGAGGAGGCCATATGATAATTGACTGCCATGCCCTCATAGATGGTGGCGCCCATAGCCACAAGATGGAAGCGCCCAATCCCATCAGCCCTGCCAGGGTGGCAGGCATGAGGCAAGGCCACATGTCTGCCTCTGGCATCCTTCATTTCTCTCTGCCCCCTAGCTGCCCAGGGCTAGCCTGAGGAGCAGGCAAGCCTATGATGATGGTGGCTGCCAGGCCTCCCAGGGCCATTCGAGGCTCCGGTAACCAGGGCCAGCTGAGGCTTGAGCTGCTGACAGTGGCAGCAGCAGAGGTGTGATGCAAGCATCACCTTCCCCTGATCACTGGATTTCCTTCCACCTCTGAGGGATCCCAAACTGTGAGATGGGGCAGGCTGGGCTGAGGGAGCCCCCCGTCGTCCAGTGCATGAATTTTCATGCATCAGGTCTCTGGTATTTAATAAGTTTAAAAAAATCCCTGTGGAAAACCATAAATAACCATTCAGAAATTGTTCTGCCAGATTGAATAGAAAAGGAAGATTCCCTATGGTTCTCTCAGAATATAGGCCCTTTAGATTTACGCTTAGGGCTGTGGTTGGGACCATTCTACAGCTTAAAAGCTTGAAAAATGAGTTGGCCTACCTCTAATCTCATTGGGTTGTCTAGGCTTAGGGAAAATGATATCCTTAGATGAGCACAATCAAGGAAATTTGGCCTGTGAAAGGTCCTCTAGTAGCATTTGTCTACAGCATATTCTTTGCCTGGATCTGGCACAGTATAGGCACACAGTACTAATAGAGTTGTGAAAACACAAAAATGAGTGAATAAGTTGCTCTCATTGTTTCAAATGCTTTGTAGTTAATTTATTTAAAGAAATACCATGTGATTCAATTTGGCTGCGGCCTGGGCACATGAAAGAAAGTCATAGGTGCTAAAGCAAAAAGCTGGTTTTCCCCAGAACCAGCTAACTAATGTTCTTGGGTGTGGGAGGGGGAAAGGTGACAAGTCATGCCTGTGGTGCAATAAATTCTTTATCTGTTAAAGGGACCACAATATGAACAAGTGCTGATATAAATAAGTCAAAACCAGAAAGCAGGTTTCATTACACAAAGCTATAAAATAACTTGTAAAAGAGTTAAAATGGGAACTCTAAACATGGGTTGCTATTAGTAATTGAGATTAGGACAGACTTTACATTTTTATTTTATATACTCTTGTGTCCTCTGAAATAAACTAATGTGCATACATCCCTCCTGGGAGTAAATAAAAACAAATCACATGAGCTTGATCATTCAGGGCACTGAATGCCAAGGAAACTCACTTTAGCTATAGAAGCTCACATTGCTTGTTGGGTGGACATCCTGCACATTCCCACAGTGGGCAATGACAGGCTCCAGTTTAAACATTAGTTACAGGAGGAGGACCAGTTAGGGTAAGATGGGGAGAGGAAGAGATAAGACATTGGACTCACGTCCAACATGTAGCATCTCATGAGGCCCTTATCTCAAATCTACAGAATCTCACTTGCCAGTGCCCCTTCTGCAAGAAGTCACATTGGCAGCCCAGCATCTTGGTAAGCCTCTCTTGGACATCAGGTTCAACTCTTTCTCCTGCAGACACCTGCTATCTGGGATAGGAGAGCATTCTCTGGTGTTCAGAACTCCCTGGAAAGTTCCTCTTCTACTCACCACCCTACAACCAGAAGATGGTGCTCAGGTAAGAGTCAGCTCAGAACTATCTTCTCTAAAAGGCAATTTTATTTTCTTCCTCTTACTCCACATAGTCGTGACTGCATCTTGGGGTGCAGCGTGCAAGGAGCCATGGGCACCCATGAAGGAAAGTCCAGAGACTTGAACCTTCCTCAGGCAATCTGTGGGTGCTGGTAGCTTAGGCTGTGAAGGGCCCAGGTCCGTTCTGATTCACAGATATTGTTTTCAAATCTGAATTGTTAATAACTCAGCCTTTACACATTGGCTTACTGTTCACTGGATTTGTTTGTTTGTTATATGTTTGTACTTTTCTTGTCCCAGCACAAACTAATGAGTAATTGAAAAAAGTTTAATAAAGGGAATATGTACAAAGGGATGAGCAGGACTAAGGGAAATTGATAAAGATGGAGAGGACTCTAAAGATAAGTCATAACAGGGAGCTACTGCTAAAAAATAAAGGGAAAGGTAAGTTACCAGAACACAGGGAGGCTATGGCTGTAGTGGTGGTTGTCACTTTGACCATAAGAGAGGTAACCAGACAGGGGCTATGTCTTTAGGTAGAATAACACCACCATGGCCAAACCACATCGGAGAACTAGGGAGTGGAAACCTGCCCTCTTCCTGCCCTCCAACCACCTGTCAGTGTCTATCCTTCCTGAGATCACCCAGGAGCCAGAGGTGAGCCCAGTGGTGAGGGGAATAGACATGTCCTCTTAGTACACAGAGGAGGGTAGAGAAGCAGGAAGTGAAATTTGATGTCAAATGAAGGGAATTCAGATTATTCTCCTCCTGCCTCCAGCAGAGATGACATGGTCTCTGAGTGGAGGTATATGGACTAGAGAATATTCCTATGTCAGCAGAGGTTCCGTGTTGCATAGAGAGAGCCCTGACTCTAGCGTCAAAGAGAACTGGCTTTGAATCCAGGTTCCAGGACTCCAAGACAGTGAAACCTTTGGTATCATATACTCTGCAAGTCTCCATTTCCACCTCTGTAACACGGACAGTAATTCTCAGGTAGCAGAATAGCCATGAGACTCACTGATCAGGCACCTGGTGCTCAAGTCTTGTTTCAGTTCCAGTGGCACCAGTGGAGGGTTCCTGAGCATGAATCCATCTGTCACAGCCTGGAGCAGCCAACTCACATCTATAGTGGAGGAGAACAAACTTTCAAAACAGAGTTCCCTATCCTGCAATTCCTGATAGTCATCCTGGCCCTGGCGGGGCTGGCTGGGAACGCGGTGGTGCTC